AGCAGGAATAGAATTCAGAAATTCTCATGTCCAGCCTTATGCTCTTAACCACTTGACTATGTTCCTTACACAGCCCAATTTGTACATGAAAAAAATAAACCCTGAACAATCCTTTCAGAGGATTTAGTCATGGTCAGTAACTTTTATGATGACAGTGACATCACACTTCCTCTTAAAGGAACGAGCAGGAAGAACTGGAAGCACCCTACGAACCAAAATAATGCTGATGTAAAATAATTCTAAAATCCTGCTAGTGACTGTAATTATATAGAAAGTTAAAGCAAGCTTTTGGCAACAACGCTGATAAAGACAGTATGACACAAATATTACAAAATTAGTTTTTGTCTGGTACAATACCTCACCAAGACAATGAGGCGGCACTAAATGGTCCATGACAGACCGAGATGCCATGCATATAGCAATGAAGCTTCAGGTTTCCTTTGCCAACATCATTTTAAATTATGCAAACTGTTAATAGATTTATTTCCCTAACTCTAATACTGAAGGAACAAATAATTAATATTCACCCAGGCTTGTTAAAATTAAAGTGGCATTTCCAAACGCTGTTATTACTGTTCTTACTTTTCTCTCACTGAAATCAATGATGAGAGGGAAAAAAAAATCAATTCAATTAATCAAATTTAATACAAGCAAAGTTAGGCCACAGTACTTCTGAAAAACCCTTTTAAACATTATAGAGCTTTCTGAATGTTCAAGAATAGTAGCTGATATCCAGCTCCTGATTCAGCCATGCAGGAAGAAGGGGGCATGGCCTGGACCCACCCCAATCCCCTGGGTAGAGAGGACATGGACCAGTAGGAATTTGGCAGCAAGGGAGACTGGCAGTATTAATAGCCACTGCTCCCCCACCATCAAATTTCCTGACCTATGGAGAGGCCTGTGATCTAGATGCCACAGCTTCCATGGGCCATATAGGTAACCCCGCTTAGCGCTCTTAGTTGGTTCCTGAAAAACCAAGCGTTAAGTGAAACCAAAAGTATTTGATGACCCAAGCTAGCGACCGCAAGCGTTATAATGAAACTCATTGAGTGCTAAGTGAATTCCGGTATCAATTTCAAATGAGCGCTATAGCAAAACAGCGCTAAGTGAAACAGTGTTAAGTGTGGGTTGCCTGTATTTGATCCGTATGCTGGAGATAGAGCACCCCTGAGTTGAGACAAAGGAGACTCCAACCAACACTATTCAGAAACAAAGGGCTGATGGAAAACCCAGTCCAATATCCAGATGCTGGAAGAGTGGAGGAAGTACAGAAATTCTTTCTGTAGGCTCCCTTTGGAATGCCCATTTTATAAATCACTTAGTAAGTTAGCAGGCATCTGATAACACTTCTACTTACCTTTCCTTCCCTCAAACCTAAAACTTCCTGACTACTGGAAAGAAGGACTCCTCTACTTAACTGTTGGGTCCTCTTTCCCGATTGAAATTGCCATTGGTTGTTATTGCTGCTGTTCATATAATGATGATTTTCCCAGGCACTGGCAAGGTACAGTTTTAAAAATATATATTCCTATGGTTCTAAACATCAGCACTGGAAGTGACAGTCTTGTTTTCATTTTGTTCAGGAATGAGAAGAACAAGGACAGAGGCAACAGTGGATACATCATTCGCTGCAAATGGGGGGCGCGGGGAGAGGAGTCGAATACAAGTGCATCAACTCATGCTTGGTAACCTCTTTGCAATCATAAGTGACTCAAAACTTAAATTCTGTTAAGTGAAAGCCATCCTGATGATTTGGGTCCACTCCTACTTTGGGTCCACTCCTACTTGCCTACTTAATGCTTAGAGGGCTAGACGTTTCAAGGCCCCAGATTCTCTCCTGGTTCAGCGCTTTGAAAATAAAGCATTCATTGATTCATTCAGTTAGGCTAGAGGTATATTCAAGAAAAGAAAAATGCATCGCCTATACATTACAATATATTTTTCTGTTTGTTTTTCGAAGTACTTTTTATTTAAATGAAGCACCTGGGCCTAAATAAGTAGTTACATAATGAGTCCTGAACAGCTCTAAGGAATCTTTGCAGCCACAGAATCAAATCATAGAGTTAAGCAGCTCTTTAAATTGCCTACCAAGGAATTTTCCATCGTCCAACTCAGTTGGCAAAGCAACTGCAAGTGCAAATGCGTGGGAACATTCCAACACAAAGAAACAAAGCTGTGACAGAAGGATCAGATGAGAATTTTATTAAGTCAAAATGAACCCATCTGATGGCAAGACAAATTATAATACTCTACAAGGTCCACAATGGGAAGTAAACACAAATATTAGATTTAAAGGTCATGAAAAAAGCAGTGAAAAATCTGACGTGCTTTTCCAGATTAAGAATACCTTTGCCCTGCTCCATTGTTCTGAGCAATTTAGCGCACACTATCTTTTATCAAGGTCTCTGACCAATAGCTGTTCTTATCTAATATATATAGTGGAAAAAGTACACGTAACTCCGAGTTACTGCACACAGAGGCAAGCCCTTAAAACAAATTCCTTGATTCTGAACATTTAAGGCAGTGATTCTCAATCAGGGTGCCACATTACTCTTTTAAAAGTGTTGTGGGGTGTTGCACAATATTAGCACTCTTAGGTGTAGAAACACCTACACGATTCACATGCTAAACCCAGAGATTACAAAAAGGAATCTGGAGTCCAAACACTCTGACCTTCTGTGGTCTTTCTGAGCTTTGTGCAACAGAAAACTGCTGTTATTTTTTCATGGTCAAGAAACAAGTAGAAGTTAATAACTGGCATTTTCCCAGGAGTGCCTTGAGTCTAAAAAGGCTGAGAACCACTGATTAGGGGCTGCACTCACTAAACAACAATTACTCATTCGACTATGCTTTAGGGTTACATCTTCCAAACCGAACCACTAGACTTTCTGTG